TGATGATCATAGCTTAGATTTTTATATACAAACTTCATATTATATGATTGGTTGATGATCGTAACTTAGATTTTTATATATAAACTTCATGTTATATGATTGGTTGATGATCATAGCTTAGATTTTTATATACAAACTTCATGTTATATGGTTGGTTGATGATCATAACTTAGATTTGTATTAAAAATTTAACAAGTCCATTTTTCTTGTTAGAATTTCTCGGTGTTAGAAAATCATCACTGGAGGTCAGCTATTTCCTGCTTGAGGGAATCAGAGTTACTACACCATCTCTCAAGAGAAGTCCGGTAAGTTTATTTGTCAATAGATGGCGCTGATGACCAAACCTTTTCTTACTCTTGGGTACGAGAACAAGTATATTTGATGTTGTTACATTAATAGAAAGAACACGAAGTAAAACAACAACAACAAAGGAGAAGTGAGAAGTAACACGGCATTTTTTTTTTTTTTTTTTTTTTTGGAGGGCGAGTCAACCCGTAGTTTATTGACCATTTTTAAATTGTAGAAGTTAACATAACTAATATAAACTTGACTAAGGAAGCACATTAAACTAATGTAACAATAGGTAGTAAAACAACGATTTATAAAAATGTTATTGATGGTGTAACATACAATAACAATAGGTAGTAAAACAACGATTTATAAAAATGTTATTGATGGTGTAACATACAATAATAATAGGTAGTAAAACAACGATTTATAAAATACTTTGAACTGAAAGAGGTTCTCTCTTACGTGGCGCCCCCTAGTGGCACAGCGGTATGTCTGCGGAATGACAACGCTAGAATCCGGGTTTCGATACCCGTGGTGAGAAGAGGACAGATAGCCCATTGTGTAGCTTTGTGCTTAATTACAAACAAACTCACGTGGCACATTATAGCTACCTGTGCAGAAAGTGTCGTTCATGTAAAGTTTGTAAACAAATAAACTTTGTATTTCCTTATTTTAAAACAACAAAAGACAGAATCTATAAGTTTTTTTATCTTTTATTGCTCTATCGAGTACAAACTACCATACATTACACAAATGTAAAGACAAAATACTCGTCCCAAATTTCCCTGGGTTGTATTTTTCTCGGGTCTTCGGTTCTTCATTTCTGAGATTTTGGAATAAATATATAAATTATGATCAGTAGTTTTAATAAAAGAAAGAAAAATGTAGAAATACAGAAACAATTCTTGTATGGTATACATATAGTTATAACTTCTTTCATCCAGCATGTTCATTAACAGACATCAACTAACAACCTTCAAGGTATAATGTAGCACTATTAAACACATATATCTTCAGAAGGTTACTTTTGTTTCACACTAGAGGGCGCTCCTGAGATCATTTTATGAATAATACTGAACTAATTGTAGAGATATTAATATATGTATCAACAAACAACCTTCAAAGTATAATGTATCACTATTAAATATTCAGAAGGTTACTTTTGTTTCACACTAGAGGGCGCTCCTGAGATCATTTTATGAATAATACTGAACTAATTGTAGAGATATTAATATATGTATCAACAAAC